TTACAAAGTTATCTGACTTAATTACATACCCACCTGTCAACAGCTCAAACATGTATCTATCACTTTGAAAATGATACCGAATCCTTGCTTTGGATTCTAGTCCTCCTTAAGGTCTAAATCACAGACATTTAACTGACAATTATCATTGATATCAATGAGTTTTTTTTATATCCTCGTCTTTGACTTACAGCGCAGTCCATATCATAGACACCTTATCAATATCATTGATTATTGATAGTGTTTAAGACTATCATGATAAATGAAAAATTAAATATCATAATACAATATTAAGATAATTTATCACTAGATCTTTTGAGACAGATCGAAGATAGAATAAATTTAATTTAATTTTGTATTCTACTGTTTTGAGACAACAATTTAAATTGTTTTCATCGTTGACCACAGGTCATCACTGACCAAAGGTCAAAACATTTTTATTTCCCTCAGCCTCTATAGTGCCTAATAGATAATAGAGACCTTTATGATGGCTGCAAGACTCTTACATCATGTAAAAGATCCCCAACAAATACGCGCCCTGACAGAAAGTGCCTGCGACAGCCTACCAGCATCAGGCAAGGAGAAACGACAGCATTGGCAGCATCATCCTTTGTAATCTGGTCGCAGATTACATCAACAAATACTTGTAAAATCACATTACCTATAACACTCCCATTAAAGGGCTTTCTCTTGCCTTCAGTTTTTGTTGAGACTCTGTTTAATACTTTATTTTGTGATGATACCAGTTGCCATCGAAATTCCAAATCGGCTTCAAATGACTTTCCAGAGCTATTTGTAACCAAAGAGTATTAAAGTTTTTCCCGTAACCTCCATATTAGAGCAACGTAAATTAAGAAATTTCAATGAACAGATTGGATGTCTATTAACTGTGCTATTACTTGTGTTTGTTATACTTGTTTTGTGGTCCTATGAGTAGCTATAGCTGTAACCTGTACTGAAATGAGATGATGCACGAAAAGGGCAGCAACCACACTGTCGCTTATTAACTCAGGCCAATCAGGCTACACAAACAAGACTGGTCATAGGACAGGTGACTTCTAAAAAGACGTGTGATCTCTGTTAATATGTGGTCTCTCCAAAACATTTAAAATGTCTCCAAATCAAGGCATTGGAACTCTTAGCATTGAACTGTAGGAAGATGGGATTTCTACATTAAAGGCATGATTTAAACCCTCAGGTTAATTGGTCTTGGAAGATATTTGTACACTTGTAATCTATCACCATATCTGCACTTTGTAGTCTCTTAAGACATCAAATTGAACTCTGTCATGAAAAAGTCCATGAATATACGACATTTGAACTCTCAGGAAATGTCATTCTTTAAGACATCTGAACTCTCAGGAAATGTCATCTCTCAAGACATTAATTAGAACTCTCAGGAAATGTCATCTCTCAAGACATTAATTAGAACTCTCAGGAAATGTCATCTCTCAAGACATTAATTAGAACTCTCAGGAAATGTCATCTCTCAAGACATTAATTATAACTCTCAGGAAATGTCATCTCTCAAGACATTAATTAGAACTCTCAGGAAATGTCATCTTCAGGAAATGCCATCTCTCAAGACATTAATTAGAACTCTCAGGAAATGTCATCTCTCAAGACATTAATTAGAACTCTCAGGAAATGCCATCTCTCAAGACATCTGAACTCTCAAGATATGTCATGACATATGTCTGACAAGATATTTAAACTCTGGAGACACTTTATCTCCCAAGCAAATTGAAAAAGACAGAAGCTTAGGAGACAATGTGTCTGACAGAATTCATATGTCTTGAGAAATCACATTACTAATAAAAGTTTAAACGTCTTGAGAGGCTTCATCTCTCAAGAGTTATCATGTCTCGATAGAACAAGATAGCTTTAATCTAAAAGCAACTAATTACAACAGCAGAAATGAAAAATTATCTCCAGGAAAAAAAGAAAAAAAAAACTGGCACCAACACTTGACAAAATAAAGGAAATAGAAACATCAAAACGAACGTGACACCATAAACCAATGCATTTTCAAGGCTCTCTTTCTATTTATGTGCCTCGTTTACTGTAAATATCACCTTACACACATTCCATTAATTACTAGTTAACGAGTGCACACCTGTGACATCACCTGCAATGTACCAATTAATACAACAACCAAAACAAACCAAAATAAAGACTGCAAATATGTATTTAATAAAAAACGCCATATAGAGTAAATTCTGACTTTATCATCAATATTTCCAGTTACTGTTTGGAGTTGCTACGTAGCAACGGTTACCAGACAATGTGCCGGAGGTATTGTTGGGCGGGTTCACCTGGGCTGTAATTACCTGTGTCCCTAAGGCCATCTCCGCGGCCACAACGATACATCACAACTACAATACGCGATCTCGCACGCCCCAGACCCCCAAACAGGCAGGGGTTTCACTGATACTGTGCCTCTCATATCACCCCACCTTTCTACAAATATTGACATGGTCTCATTACAACACAACAACTATTAACAGTGCTACCGTAGACAATTCCAATTGTTCCTCGTGATGTTTGTCAAAGCTTTGAAGGGGAACTTTATAAAGGGACAATTTAATTTTAGAAAAGTTTTAAATCTTAATTGTATGTACACCTACCAGACACGGCCTTTGTCAAGGGCGAGCAACTCTCTTTGGTAAAATGATCCCCCAAGACCGTGTAATTCCCTACCTGATGTACTCACACACACTCATCCATTGTACCCTACCAAATCCAAACAATTGTCAACATATTAAAGAGATATTTTAACATTCATAACAGGAACAATTCCTTCACATCTATTATTACTGAATTAAATCCCCAGTAACATATATTCTCACAAAGCGAAATTGAGACAATCCTAACTTCCCTATGTCACACAGGTAATTATTGAACAAGACAAAAACATGACCATTATTTATCAAAGATTTTGATAGCAACACCTTTAAACCATAATGAAGTCTGAGGTTTGTGTCTGACGGCACTTTAAAATTTCCCTTCCCTGTCAATTGTACCGCCACCGAAGGCCAACTAGGTATAGATTTAGCCCACTCGCAGATAACATTGTCGTTCTTTGAACGTCCTGTTACCAGGCATTGTTACATTTTTAACTATTATGACATTAATGCCTTATTTTTCTATAATAGAGTTCATAACAATTACCAGATCTTCTTTTCATGGTAAACAGGAGGGCGATATTAATATCCCTGGGCACTTGGCTCATTGTGGAAATCGTGACATACACACAATGCCCTGTTACAGGACACGACAGATAAACTGATGATAGGCACTGTTTTTAAGAGAAACTCTCTTTAAACTTGTAAAATGAAGTTTCAACTTGCACTATACAGTCTTAATTACCTGGTGACAACTAGTTTAAACGACATATGCATCAGTCCAACCTAGTTTGTGCTGTCCTATAACAAGTCACACAAAGTGACAACATTAGAGCAACAAAGATGGTCAACATTCACAATAAAAATCTAGGATAGAGTTATCTTAAGTGATGAGTATTCTTGATCTTATTTAGGGATAATCCTGGAGGGGTTCAAGGGATCCTGGGCCTATCAAGACTGAACTCTCCCATTTTCCATTTTTTATAACATTTTTTGTATCTTACATAGGATGTCCTACCTTGTTTTTTATATTGACCAAAAATTTCCCAAAATGGCCCATTTTTCTCAGTTTCAGAATTTTTTTCCTGCTGACTTCTATAATTGAAAAATAATGAAAAAAGATATCACAGCTTTCAAATTTTGAATGTCATGTGGTGTGCAATGATCATTAAGTACAAAGCCAAACTATAAAATGCCCTGTTAAATTTAACCTTTTTTCAAACTGGGATATTTTTCACCCCTGATCATTTTTGTCCTTGTACCATTATACACCCACTCGCCTCCTGTTTATTTTGCCCTCTGGGGATTATATAAAAGGCTTAATGTATAAATGGAAGAAGAATTTTACTGCATCAAACAACAATTTTTTCCGATCAGGACTCGTCAAAAACGGCTTCAAACCGCTCCTAAACAAATACCGAGAAATATAGATATGGAGGTGCACTTAATGCATCATTTAATCAGAATGGTATATTTTTTGGAAAATGAAAAAAAAAGTGAATAACATTTCTTCTAATTCTATTCTTAAAAAGATGTCTCTACTTCCTGTTGTTCACAATGGACTCGCAAAGCAATAGATCTATGATGTCAGCTCGCGTGCTTTTGGTATTCATCGAAGCACACTATCAGCCGTCACCAAATCACAGATGAACATCACCTTTTTTTGGATGTAAAAGACAGATGTTGTTCGTTGGCTAAACAATAATTACAGAAAAACATCCTGTTTTGTTTTACCACTTAATGTGTGTATAAAATGAAACTGAAAAGAAAAAAAAATCAATTAACTTTCTATCAGATATCAATGGTGTACTTCTATAAAGCAACAAGCAAGACATGAACAATGAATGAAGATTATCGACACCGATCATCTCTGACAAAAACAATTAGGAGGATCATAATGTCAGCATTAAAAGAGTCAAGCACAAAGGTTTATGGCTGGTTTGAATGACAGTATGGCTAAACATGTCTGAGGTATTATAGAGGAAACACTAGAGTCCCATAGATCTCATGTGTACAACTAACCGATCCCTTCAGTTCCCCCAAAATACAGGTGACCGATCCCTTCAGTTCCCACAAAATACAGGTGACCGATCCCTACAGCTTCCACACTATACAGGTGACCAATCCCTTCAGTTCCCACACCATACAGGTGACAGATCCCTACAGCTCTCACACCATACAGGTGACCGATCCCTTCAGTTCCCACCCCATACAAGTGACAGATCCCTACAGCTTCCACACTATACAGGCTACAGATCCCTACAGCTCCCACACCATACCGGAGACAGGTCCCCACAGCTCCCACACCATACAGGTGACAGATCCCTACAGCTTCCACACTATACAGGCTAAAGATCCTACAGCTCTCACACCATACAGGTGACAGATCCTTACAGCTCCCACACCATACAGGTGACAGATCCCTACAGTTCCCACACCATACAGGTGACCGATCCTTACAGTTCCCACACCATACTGGAGACAGGTCCCCACAGCTCCCACACCATACAGGTGACAGATCCCTACAGCTTCCACACTATACAGGCTAAAGATCCCTACAGCTCTCACACCATACAGGTGACAGATCCCTACAGCTCCAACACCATACCGGAGACAGATCCTTACAGTTCCCACACCATACAGGTGACAGATCCTTACAGTTCCCACACCATACAGGTGACCAATCCCTTCAGTTCCCACCCCATACAAGTGACAGATCCCTACAGCTCCCACACTTTACATGCTAAAGATCCCTACAGCTCCCACACCATACAGGTGACAGATCCCTACAGCTTCCACACTATACAGGCTAAAGATCCCTACAGCTCTCACACCATACAGGTGACAGATCCCTACAGCTCCAACACCATACCGGAGACAGATCCTTACAGTTCCCACACCATACAGGTGACAGATCCTTACAGTTCCCACACCATACAGGTGACAGATCCTTACAGTTCCCACACCATACAGGTGACAGATCCCTACAGTTCCAACACCATACAGGTGACAGATCCCTACAGCTCCAACACCATACAGGTGACAGATCCCTACAGCTCCAACACCATACAGGCAACAGATACCTACAGCTCCCACACCATACCGGAGACAGATCCCTACAGTTCCCACACCATACAGGTGACAGATCCCTACAGTTCGCACACCATACCAGAGACAGATCCTTACAGTTCCCACACTATACAGGTGACAGATCCCTACAGCTCCCACAACATACAGGCAACAGATCCCTATAGCTCCCACACCATTCAGGTGACAGATCCCTACAGCTCCAACACCATACTGGAGACAGATCCCTACAGCTCCCACACTATACAGGTGACAGATTCCTACAGCTCCCACTCAATACAGGTGACAGATCCTTACAGTTCCCACACCATACAGGTGACAGATCCCTACAGCGCCCACACCATACAGGTGACAGATCCCTACAGTTCCCACACCATACGGGTGACAGATCCCTACAGCGCCCACACCATACAGGTGACAGATCCCTACAGTTCCCACACCATACAGGTGACAGATCCCTACAGCTCCCACTCAATACAGGTGACAGATCCCTACAGCTCCCACACTATACAGGCGACAGATCCCTATAGCTCTCACACCATTCAGGTGACAGATCCCTACAGCTCCCACACCATACAGGCAACAGATCCCTATAGCTCCCACACCATTCAGGTGACAGATCCCTACAGCTCCCACACCATACAGGCGACAGATCCGTACAGCTCCCACTCAATACAGGTGACAGATCCCTACAGTTCCCACACCATACAGGTGACAGATCCCTACCGTTCCCACACAATACAGGTGACAGATCCCTTCAGTTCATACATCATACAGGTGACAGATTCCTACCACTCCCACACCATACAGGTGACAGATACCTTCAGTTCATACATCATACAGGTGACAGATCCCTACAGCTCCCACATCATACAGGTGACAGGTCCCTACAGCTCCCACACTATACAGGTGACTGATCCCTACAGGTCTCACACCATACAGGCGACAGATACCTACAGCTCCCACACAATACAGGCGACAGATCCCTATAGCTCCCACACCATTCAGGGGACAGATCCCTACAACCCCCGCACAATACAGGCGACAGATCCCTACAGCTCCCACACCAACCAGCTGACAGATCCCTACAGTTCCCACACTATTCAGGAAACAGATCCCTACAGCTCTCACACCATACAGGTGACAGATCCCTACAGCTCCCACACTATACAGGTGACTGATCCCTACAGCTCTCACACCATACAGGCGACAGATACCTACAGCTCCCACACAATACAGGCGACAGATCCTTATAGCTCCCACACCATTCAGGTGACAGATCCCTACAACTCCCGCACAATACAGGTGACAGATCCCTACCGTTCCCACACAATACAGGTGACAGATCCCTTCAGTTCATACATCATACAGGTGACAGATTCCTACCGCTCCCACACCATACAGGTGACAGATACCTTCAGTTCATACATCATACAGGTGACAGATCCCTACAGCTCCCACATCATACAGGTGACAGGTCCCTACAGCTCCCACACTATACAGGTGACTGATCCCTACAGCTCTCACACCATACAGGCGACAGATACCTACAGCTCCCACACAATACAGGCGACAGATCCCTATAGCTCCCACACCATTCAGGTGACAGATCCCTACAACTCCCGCACAATACATGCGACAGATCCCTACAGCTCCCACACCAACCAGCTGACAGATCCCTACAGTTCCCACACTATTCAGGAAACAGATCCCTACAGCTCCCACATCATACAGGTGACAGGTCCCTACAGCTCCCACACTATACAGGTGACTGATCCCTACAGGTCTCACACCATACAGGCGACAGATACCTACCGCTCCCACACAATACAGGCGACAGATCCCTATAGCTCCCACACCATTCAGGTGACAGATCCCTACAACTCCCGCACAATACAGGCGACAGATCCCTACAGCTCCCACACCAACCAGCTGACAGATCCCTACAGTTCCCACACTATTCAGGAAACAGATCCCTACAGCTCTCACACCATACAGGTGACAGATCCCTACAGCTCCCACACTATACAGGTGACTGATCCCTACAGCTCTCACACCATACAGGCGACAGATACCTACAGCTCCCACACAATACAGGCGACAGATCCCTATAGCTCCCACACCATTCAGGTGACAGATCCCTACAACTCCCGCACAATACAGGTGACAGATCCCTACCGTTCCCACACAATACAGGTGACAGATCCCTTCAGTTCATACATCATACAGGTGACAGATTCCTACCGCTCCCACACCATACAGGTGACAGATACCTTCAGTTCATACATCATACAGGTGACAGATCCCTACAGCTCCCACATCATACAGGTGACAGGTCCCTACAGCTCCCACACTATACAGGTGACTGATCCCTACAGCTCTCACACCATACAGGCGACAGATACCTACAGCTCCCACACAATACAGGCGACAGATCCCTATAGCTCCCACACCATTCAGGTGACAGATCCCTACAACTCCCGCACAATACATGCGACAGATCCCTACAGCTCCCACACCAACCAGCTGACAGATCCCTACAGTTCCCACACTATTCAGGAAACAGATCCCTACAGCTCTCACACCATACAGGTGACAGATCCCTACAGCTCCCACACTATACAGGTGACTGATCCCTACAGCTCTCACACCATACAGGCGACAGATACCTACAGCTCCCACACAATACAGGCGACAGATCCCTATAGCTCCCACACCATTCAGGTGACAGATTCCTACAACTCCCGCACAATACAGACGACAGATCCCTACAGCTCCCACACCAACCAGCTGACAGATCCCTACAGTTCCCACACTATTCAGGAAACAGATCCCTACAGCTCTCACACCATACAGGTGACAGATCCCTACAGCTCTCACATCACACAGGTGACCGATCCCTACAGCTCCCACACCATGCAGGTGACAGATCCCTACAGCTCCCACACCATACAGGTGACAGATCCCTACAGCTCTCACACCAAACAGGTGACAGATCCCTACAGCTCCCACACTATACAGGTGACTGATCCCTACAGCTCTCACTCCATACAGGTGACAGATCCCTACAGCTCCCACACTATACAGGTGACTGATCCCTACAGCTCTCACACCATACAGGCGACAGATACCTACAGCTCCCACACAATACAGGCGACAGATCCCTATAGCTCCCACACCATTCAGGTGACAGATCCCTACAACTCCCGCACAATACAGGCGACAGATCCCTCCAGCTCCCACACCAACCAGCTGACAGATCCCTACAGTTCCCACAATATTCAGGAAACAGATCCCTACAGCTCTCACACCATACAGGTGACAGATCCCTACAGCTCTCACATCACACAGGTGACAGATCCCTACAGCTCCCACACCATGCAGGTGACAGATCCCTACAGCTCCCACACCATACAGGTGACAGATCCCTACAGCTCTCACATCATACAGGTGACAGATCCCTACAGCTCCCACACCATGCAGGTGACAGATCCCTACAGCTCCCACACCATACAGGCGACAGATCCCTACAGCTCCAACATCATGCAGGTGAAAGATCCCTAGTTCTCTTTTACGGTACAGGTGCAGGTGACAGATTCCTACAGCTATCACACAGTGACTTAATGAGCCTGTTTTATTGTTTACAGGCTGTTAACTAGATAACATTCATAGTTCCTAGGTTAGTTACAGATGTACTTCTGATCAGACAATCTGTTGGACCCTGACACCTAATGTGAAATGTCAGAACTTCAATCATCATTTCACACACAATTAAAAATAAAATCTAACAATCATCAACCATTTTAGAATGTCCTAATGACTAGAAGTAAAAATAAGAAGAAATTCCTGGCAAGTTTTATCCTTAGTAATTTCTTTACAGATTAAATTCATTAACGAGTGTTTGTAATAAAAAAACAAAATAAATATAAAACAATTAGCATTATTCTTTATAGTTAGACAAGCTCCTGTTTTATTTCATCAGATTACAAGAGTACAAACTTAAAAGCCCCCTCGGGTAGTATTGGTGGGGGACAGATTGGAGTACAAACCTCAAGCCTCCCTCTGGTAGTACTGGTCGGGGACAGATGGAGTACAAACCTAGGCCCCCTCTGGCCGTACTGGTCGGGGACAGATGGAGTACAAACCTAGGCCCCCTCTGGTAGTATTGGTGGGGGACAGATGGAGTACAAACCTAGGTTCCCTCTGGTATTACTGGTGGGGGACAGATGGAGTACAAACCTAAGCCCCCTCTGGTAGTACTGGTCGGGGACAGATGGAGTACAAACCTAGGCCCCCTCTGGCCGTACTGGTCGGGGACAGATGGAGTACAAACCTAGGCCCCCTCTGGTAGTATTGGTGGGGGACAGATGGAGTGCAAACCTAGGTTCCCTCTGGTATTACTGGTGGGGGACAGATGGAGTACAAACCTAAGTTCCCTCTGGTATTACTGGTGGGGGACAGATGGAGTACAAACCTAAGCCCCCTCTGGTAGTACTGGTCGGGGACAGATGGAGTACAAACCTAAGTTCCCTCTGGTAGTACTGGTGGGGACAGATGGAGTACAAACCTAAGCCCCCTCTGGTAGTACTGGTGGGGGACAGATGGAGTACAAACCTAGGCCCCCTCTGGTAGTACTGGTGGGGACAGATGGAGTACAAACCTAAGCCCCCTCTGGTAGTACTGGTGGGGGACAGATGGAGTACAAACCTAGGCCCCCTCTGGTAGTATTGGTGGGGGACAGATGGAGTACAAACCTAGGCCCCCTCTGGCCGTACTGGTCGGGGACAGATGGAGTACAAACCTAGGCCCCCTCTGGTAGTACTGGTGGGGACAGATGGAGTACAAACCTAGGCCCCCTCTGGTAGTAGTGGTGGGGGACAGATGGAGTACAAACCTAGGCCCCCTCTGGCCGTACTGGTCGGGGACAGATGGAGTACAAACCTAGGCCCCCTCTGGTAGTACTGGTGGGGACAGATGGAGTACAAACCTAGGCCCCCTCTGGTAGTATTGGTGGGGGACAGATGGAGTACAAACCTAGGCCCCCTCTGGCCGTACTGGTCGGGGACAGATGGAGTACAAACCTCAAGCCTCCCTTTGGTAGTACTGGTGGGGACAGAAGGAGTACAAACCTAGGCCCCCTCTGATAGTACTGGTGGGGACAGATGGAGTACAAACCTAGGCCCCCTCTGATAGTACTGGTGGGGACAGATGGAGTACAAACCTAGGCCCCCTCTGATAGTACTGGTGGGGACAGATAGAGTACAAACCTAGGCCCCCTCTGATAGTACTGGTGGGGACAGATGGAGTACAAACCTAAGTTCCCTGGTATTAGAAGGGGATAAATGAGGTACAAACATTTCCTCTTACAGATTGTATTCAGGTGATGATAGTATTCAGGTGAGACTTTTAAGTGCAAAAACCACTGATAGTGCCTAAAGCACTGGTAAGGGACTGATTACAAATGTAATGTTTCATCTGGTAGTATTGGCGAGAGACTGGTTCTGATTTTGTAAATGGTTCTGTCCCTAGGTAGGGAACTTTAGTACAAACCATACTAGGCTTTAGTCCTGACAATAAAATCATTGTAAAAACTGGAATTATGCTTATTCTAATATACCTGACCACAACATGAAATTATTGTGCCTATCTAAATGGATATTTTACTGTCCTATGACCAGTCTAACTAGGCAGACATGACTGACATGGATTTGTATTATAAAGGAGGTCTGTTAGGGGAAGATCTCCTGCACTAAGTTTACATGTATTTAGCTGTTGTTTGACATAAGGGCGTTCATACAAATGGACAAGGCTAGATTTGTGGAGTACATGCTTTCTGAGCCTCCAGGTTCTTTATCCTTTTCTCCCCAACTCTTGTCCCAGCTCCTGTGGTACTGTGCATTCAGAGGCATGGCTAGATAAGATTTGATAAAGGCTGTCGTTATAAAATATCTCCTTGCATATCCGTATGATTAAAATGTTTTAAATTTCCGTTGATAAAACTGGTCATCAGCTCCACTACTGTAGATAATGTGGCTAACTCGCGTACTTACTCAAAGGCAGAGCGCCACAGAGAATTAGTTAGTTGTAATGCCGAAACTGGGGAGACTTGGTTAAACACTAATTCTTACAATCCCCCCTGAATATCACTGCTTATATTTATGATATGTTGAAGGGGGTTGCACTCGACTGCGACCTGCAGCCTCCGTACCAAGTAACCAAGCCAACTATACAGGGACACAGCTATGGTATTGTTATCTCCAATTCTATCTCAACCAACAAAATTCAATTATAGGAGACCCTGGTCCTGGTATATTGGCCAGATAAGTGTTTCCTCTCTCGCTAGCTCTCACACCCTAGTTGTGTCTGAGCAGAGCTACCAGGAGCCAGATTCCACTTTTTCTACCGACTGCTCCAGTCTCTGAACAAGCCATAAACTCATACAAATGTTCTCATTCTCTTTCATCCCACTCAATAACACAAGATATATGGCCTAACTTCTGAAACATACATCCACTTTTAATTTTCCAACTGACTTAATTCAGGCCATCAGAAGACAAAATTATGGTGGCAAATTCTTACCTCTTCCAGACAAGGGCAGACAATGCTGGAAAGATATAATGGTCTTTGTTTATTGTGATCAATGATTTATTGAAAGTAATCAAAATAATTCAATCTATTCATCCATATTTTATCTTCAAAATGGCACACTAGTTGAGCTTTGACCTGGTGACAATCATTTACCGACTCTATTGCAGGAAAGTGCTTGCGCATTTTACTTTCCGCAACAGATTTCATGGGGTTTATACATTGATGTTGGCTAAGCTGATTAAACGGCTCCATATCTATTGTCTGATAGAGTTCAGCAAATAATCAGTTATTTTATCATGTGTTATTTCCCAGAAAAACTGAGATCCTATACAGAGGGAATTAGCACTGCCTGCTGATAAAAAAGAAAAAAAAAGTTGTATTAAGGGGTTTACAATCATGAGTATCACAGCACACTGTGTCGCCAGTTCCAGGTCTTAATTACTCACTGATGTGCTGATCCACTGAAGGGGTGCTGCACCCTTGTGTTGGACAGCAGCCTCCAAGCTCTAATGTCTCTTCACTTCATTGGATAATGCTTCATCTGGCCATACAAATCTTGACATTTATGACCTCTCTGTCATGTGACCGTGGTGTAATCGGTAGAATGAATGCTTTCTTGGAGTTGTCCTTATAAATGTTCAATAATCTTTGTAATCTAAGAACTAACACAACCATAACAATACCAGGCTCTCATTTTACGTCAGCATTTTTTCAGATGAATACATGAAGTGAATTTTTGAGAAAATTCAGACAATCATATCTCTGCAAAGTGTGAGAAGAGACTGGTTATCCACAGAGATAGGATGGCTCCTGTCTTATGTTGTTTAATATCCTTTCAACAGCAAAGAGTCCTATAAGGATACACTCCCTATGTATGTGAAGTGAGTGCATGTGTTAAGTACATGTGTTTGTAGGGGGCTGTGAAAGGTTTGTTTAAGATTCATTGTGATAGTCCGAAGCTAGAGCTAACTTTATAGTGCTATCACACTGAAGTGTACTGCTAAACTGACAATTCGCAAACCAGCTGTTACACTACCAAAGTGTTGTAATTATCATTCTTAAAGACGCTGGTATATGCTATGGCCAAGGGACAGAACACAATACCAATACCTTCCGCACATGGGCAAATGCTCAAGTAAAGGCCAAGAGTGAGGCAGTGTCAAGGGAGATTCTATGAAAACAAAGATTAGCTCTCAAATTTAATCACCTCTTACTATCAGGCAATGAGGGCTGCAGGTATAATTCAGTCACCCTACAAGCATGGTCAACAGAAGTGGCAGATGATTTGTATGAGTAGTCAGGTGGTACATGCTAATGCATTTGCCGTTCACCTAGGTTGTTTGGTTTGATTCCTCATTCAGATATGAAAAGGTATGAGGATTGTCTATCTGGCCAACTGGGTTTTCCTTGGGTACATTGGTTTCCTCCCATAGTAAGAGCCCTCCAGCAACTTCCATCCGTGGAGAAACAACAGTAATTAACATATTTCAATGGCTTGTTTTGCAATGGTGTAAGATAATTAAAGCTTTTACTTCAAAAATTTGCTTGGTGTTATTTTGTTGTTGTTTTATATATATATATATATATCCAAGTTGTTCATATGACATGCCTTCAGCACAAATTCATGTTGACTTAATGTATTTTAACAACTTCATCAAGATGACGAAAAATGGCTGTTTTCACTGCATCGTACATCAATCTGAAATAACTTGGAAGCATATATGACAACACCATCATAAAGATAAAACTTTTTAAAGCAAAATCTAGAAACTGATTAGACCTTGTTAGAAACAATCGGACAGAAAATAACTCAGAGTCAAGTGTGCAAAAAATAAACCCCCTTCAACATCGAAAATAATTTAAGAATATCAAGAAAAACCGATATGCTGGGAAATACATACAAAACCTATCGCAACATAGAATTAAAGTGGCACTTGTGTCTAAAATTACAAATATCTAAATTATTATTAGGTATG